AATTTTTTAAAAAATTGTAAAGGGACATGACTTTAGCTCTTCTTTCCAGATGCTGCTGCCAGAAAATACTCTCAGAGTCTCTTCCAGAAAGTAAAAATACTCTCTTCAGACATAATTTCTTCAGATTTACCGACATATGTAAAATTCGTATTTTATTTTATGAATTAATTTTATGAATATTTATGAATTCATAAATTCACATATAAAATTCATTTATATGAATATATAGAAAATGTTATTCAAAGATGTCTTGTAAAAATAAATATATCCATCTGATGTTGGAATCTTCCAGCTGCTATGAGTAACTTCAGGAGAAACAAATACCTGTGCTCCAAGCAGGGCTTTTGTCCCCTGAATGATAGTTGGAATATTATTCTCCCTTCCCTGTTTATCCCACAGTCAAAACTCCCAAATTAAGATTTCATTTTCCTCTTCAGGTGAGTCCAAATTTGTGCTAACAGGTATAACATAAATTTCAATTAGGCCATGTAGATAAACCTAAAGTCAGGACATTTTATATAAACTATCTTTTAACTGTAACAACTCATTTATAAGTAGATGAAACAGTGCTCATCCTTCATTCTACTTAAAGAGGGATTCTGCAGTATAAGGTGACACAGGAAACTAGTAGTGGAACCAGATGTAATACAAAATTTCTCCCAGAAAATGTTAGATAGACCGGCCAGGCATTCTGTCTACGCAGCCATGTAAATCTTTTTCAGTCTCAGGATAGATCATGAAGGAATCAATGAATCAATGTACTTTACTGAACAGTTAATATGTGACAGACATTCCTGTAGGTTCTTTTATGGACATTGTTTCATCTGCACATCATGACAATCTTGTAAAGTAGTGAGGTGTTATTCTGAGCAAATGGGGTCTTAGAGCAAACGAGCTAGCAAGATCACAAAATTAATAAGTAGCAAAGCTGGGATCCTAATACACATCATTCAATTCCAACATAGCCTACCTTCTACCATCTTGCTTGGAATCATCATCTCCCCCAAATTTGTATGCTCTTTTTAATGAATGCATTCTCCTAAAATCTGGTTGTATAATCAAAGAGACAGTTGACTGACTTACGTAAAAGATCACCTTTTCACTACATTTTTCCCCTTGTTATTAAATGTTGTCTACAATTTAAATTGAGAGAAACTGACAAGGGAGGATGGAAGGTGTTGCAAACAGAACAAGAATAAGGGAAAATCTGGCTGACAGTCTTGTCCCTCTGACTCCATGAAGTAGACGGCATCTCAGTCATCTTTGCATCCTCTACAGTACCTTGTATATTTAAATGATGAATTAAAAAATGACCTACTGGGGCAACCTTGAACAAGTCAGGCAATCTCTTTGGAAGAGATGGATCATATAACCTGGCAGAGCTCCGATTCTGTGGGTATGTGTGATCTTTTATGGCCACTAGTCAACTTGTACAGGGTTTACGTGAAGGATGAAGAACTCATGAAGCTTTGTTCTTGGTCACATGATTGTAAACAGTCTCAAGAGATGATAAACCATCTTTCCAAAGACTAGTTATCCCCTGGGAGTTTTCTCTAGGCATATCTATCTTAGAAAGTGTTGACTACTACTTTAGTTGTGTTCTTTGGAATAATAAAGGAGGAGGTGTTCCAAGTCAAGGTTTTATATTTGGGAAGTTTGGGGAATTATATTTTCCACTGAGTAATAGCCAATCTAGGGTCTAAATCAGTACTTTTAGATCTTTTCTACTTAGGTAATCTAATTAGCACGAGAGACAATTTACATTCCTAAGGTCTTGGTGATCAGCCACCAAGAAATCTCTCGGAAATCTTATGTTTTTATCTTCCAAAATTCATGCAGATCTTTTTTCTATGCATACTATCTCCACGTTTTTATTTTTTTATATCCAAAAATTTTCACATTAAAATTGACTTTTTAAAAAAGTTGTGCTATGTTGATGTTAGGACTTCACTTTGTTCTAGACACAGCTCTGTACCTTCTAGATTCTAGACTATATACATTCTAGTCTAGGAAGCACAACATGGATCCCAATAACCCCTACTATCCCTCCAGATTTACATAAAGAATGAAGCAAGCAAAGCACTCAGTTATTTGTTTGCATGATGCCCGACATTTGGTTCAATATTTTGGCATCATTTAAAACAAATATGTTCCAGACCATCTTTTGAAAAATGTGTCTAGTTGGTTTCCTCTTTGCAATAACAAAAGCAATTCATATAATTTAAAGTTGAGATAGTTTCCAGATAAAACATAACTTACAGCTTTATCTTGTCACAATGAAGAGACCACAATGAGTAAGAAACTTTCTTTTTAAATAAATTTATCCATTTATTTATTTTTGGCTGTGTTGGGTCTTCGTTACTGCGCACAGGCTTTCTCTAGTTGTGGCAAGCGGGGGCTACAGTTCGTTGCGGTGCATGGGCTTCTCACTGCGGTGGCTTCTCTTGCTGCAGAGCATGGGGCTCTAGGTGCACCAGCTACAGTAGTTGTGGCTCTCGGGCTCTTGTGGCACATGGGCTTAGCTGCTCCTCGGCATGTGGGATCTTCCTGGACCAAGGCTTGAACCAGTGTCCCCTGCATTGGCAGGCAGATTCTTAACCACTGCACCACCAGGGAAGCCCCCATCATTTTTAACCAAACACTTTCCCTCTGCTTCTTATGAGAGAAAGAAGGGAGATTTTTTTTGTTGCATTGGCAAGGGCAGTATTTACTAGACAAACCACAGTCTAAATTATAATTATGCTTCTCTTGTCTGGAAATACTGTAATCAAACATTTTTGGTCTCTGATCTTAGGTGCTCTTTTTCCAATAGACCATCCAGAGTTCTACCTATGGCTGAACTATAACCAATCAAATAACAAAACCACTTAGGAGATATAAAGTATAGGGGAGGCAGTGTAGTATAAACAAAGATTAAGGACAAAAGCTCTATAGACAAACTTTCAAATCCCAGCTCTCCCATTTCCAACTTATGTGACTTCAAAGCACCTTTTTTTTGTTTTGTTTTGTTTTGTTTTTTTGTGTGTGTGGTACGCGGGCCTCTCACTGCTGTGGCCTCTCCCGCTGCGGAGCACAGGCTCCGGACGTGCAGGCTCAGCGGACACGGCTCACAGGCCCAGCTGCTCCGCGGCACGTGGGATCTTCCCAGACCGGGGCACGAACCCGCGTCCCCTGCATCGGCAGGCGGACTCTCAACCACTGCGCCACCAGGGAAGCCCTATTTTATCTATTTTGTAACTTTGAACTGTAAATTGACTTTATTCATTAATTCATTCAGCAAATACTTCTTGGAAAACTTTCTCTATCAGGTACTATGCTAGGCACTGGAATTAAAGCAAAGATCATCAAAATCCCCACCACTGAGGATTTCTCAGTCTTCAGTACTTGAGGGAAAAGGTGGCAAATGTACACATTATAGTGTTCCATGATCTGCTTTGAAATGAAAGTGTGCACATAATTGCCAAAGTACTTCCATGAATGGAAACGTTGGGAAAGCATCGTATTAAATGAGAGGTACCTAGAGACTGTGTCATCTTTCCTTTTTGTAGGTCCAATGCCATACCCATGGAAGAAATAAATAAAACTGTTTGATACAATCAAACAACTGCTTGATACAAAAAATAAAACTGCAAAGATACAATTCTTATTTCGTCCATTCTCAGCTGACCCAAACGTACAGGTGGTGATTTCTGTGGCCTTCCTGGTGATGTGCCTGACCAGCCTCAGTGGAAATGCCATCATTGCAGTTACTGTCCAGATCAACCACTCTCTCGACACCCCCATGTACTTTTTCCTGGCTGACTTGGCAGTTCTGGAAATCTTCTATACATCTTCCATCGCCCCACTGGCCTTGGAAAACCTTCTTTCAATGGGCAAAACTCCTGTTTGTATCACTGGATGTGGCACCCAAATGTTTTTCTTTGTCTTCTTGGGTGGGGTTGATTGTGTCCTGCTTGCAGTCATGGCTTATGACCGGTTTATAGCAATCTGCTACCCTCTACGATACACCCTCATTGTGAACTGGCCCTTGTGTGTGGAGTTGATGGTAGGATCCCTGGTACTGGGGTTCCTGCTGTCGCTACCACTGGCTGTTTTAATCTTCCATCTCCCATTCTGCAACAACCGCGAAATCTACCGCTTCTACTGTGACATGCCTGTCGTCATGCGCCTGGCTTGTGCAGACACGCACGTTCACCGAACTGCTCTGTATCTCATCAGTTTCATCGTCCTAAACATCCCCCTCTCAGTCATCTCCACCTCCTACGTCTTCATCGTGGAGGCCATTTTACAGATCCAGTCAGCAGAAGGGCACCACCGAGCCTCCCCCAACCTGCTCCTCTCACATCTTAGTGGTCCTCCTGCAGTATGGCTGCACCAGCTTTATATACTTGTCCCCCAGTTCCAGCTACTCTCCTGAGATGGACCGGGTGGTGTCTGTGGTCTACACTTCTATCACTCCCATTTTAAACCCCTTGATCTATAGTATGAGGAACAAGGAATTGAAAGATGCCCTAAGGAGGGCACTAAGCAAGTTCTAGGTAGGATGGTTCTACGACTTATTTAAATCAGGACACTTCTGAGAATGAAATGGGATGCAATTAATAATCATGCTGGGATGATGTACATGAGCCAGGACTGTCCTCAACAAACCGAGACATAGTATTCTAGAAGAATAATGAATGCACCGGAGGAAATGAATACTACTAATTGATATAAAGCTTTATCACATAGGGTAACATGATGTCCTGGGCATGGATGGAGGAGCTTCAGCATTTATTAATTGGACCTCTACTGCGTAATAGGTACTTTATGTGGGTTATCTCACTCAGCCTATAATAAGTATCATTGTCTTCATTTTTAGAAAAGAAAACTAAAGTAGCTAACAAAAGACATATCCAGGGTGAGAACACAAGTATTCGGAAATCTAAAGGCTAAGCTGTCTTCACGCAATGACACTCCCCTTGTTCTAAGCTCGCTCTGCCAGTAAGAATATACGTTACCTCGTGCAAGTTTCTCCATCTCTCTAGGCTTCAGTTTCCTTATTTCTGAAGTGGCAGAGATGTGTTCCTTCCAAGGTCATAACATTATATTCTAAATATTGGCCCAGCAGACCCTGAATGGGAAAAAAAAAAAAAAGAGGTTTTGCCGTTAGCCAAAGGAAGGAGGAATTTTTTTTACATTTCCTGTTTTGTTAACCAAAATGAAAACTCATGATTCTGCTCATAACGTTTAAAGAGCACCCCAGTAATAAAAAGCATAGTAATAATGGAGGAAATGTTCTTTAATTTAATAAGTGAAAATATAAGAGAGGAAGAAAGTGGGCATCATTGAATTTGGATTCCTTGAGGATCTCTTCTATCTCAGAGAGTGTTCCAGGCTCTGCTTGAGCTTCCAAGGAGAGAGATCATTAACTTGTAAGACACTCCATTCCTCGCTGGACAACTCCAGTTATTAAAGTACTGTACCCTATCTTGAGCTAAAGTCTATCTACAAACAACTTCCTCCCACTGATCCTGTTTTTCCTCCCTAAGAGCTCTCTTCTACATGACAGCTCTTCACATGTATTAGGATCGAGTGTGCATCTTCTATAAGTCTTCAGTCCTCTTTTCTCTAGAGCAAGTACTCCATCAACTTTTCCTCCAGGATATTACATTTTTTTAAATTTTTATTTTATTTATTTTTTTATACAGCAGTTTCTTATTAGTTATCTATTTTATACATATTAGCGTATACATCTCAGTCCCAATCTCTCAGTTCATCCCACCACCCCCACCCCTCCCACCACTTCCCCCCCTTGGTGTCCATACGTTTGTTCTCTGTATCTGTGTCTCTATTTCTGCCCTGCAAACTGGTTCATTTGTACCATTTTCCAGGAGATTATATTTGAACCCTCTCATCATACAAGTCACCTTCTAGATTTTCCCTAGCTCCATATTCTTCTATGAATTTTCAGAAATAAACAAAATAAACTGGGAAAATTTTGTTCTGGGGAACTGCTACTTTTACCTGTGAACTATATTTCTATTAATTCATCTTGATCCTTTTAGTCTCATAAATATGGTATCAAATATAGTTTTCATATGTCTTTCAATGCTGCCTTATCATAATTTATTTTACTAACATACATGGAGGACTTTTCATTTAACACTGATATATTGTGTTTTTATTAGTTTTGGCCAAGTGACTAAACTGACAAGTCATCTTCAGGATTTATTTTATTCATCATAATTTTGTGTCATGGTCAAAATTGCAATCATATTTCATTTCCTTTGTCTAAGTCATTAACAAATATCTAAAATAGGACAGGATGAATGCAGTATCTATGGTAGTCCTCCTCTGTGACAACTGTTGTCCAACTAGATAGAAACCTGCTCAGTTAACACCATCTGTGGTACACTGTCACAATTATGATCCCCACCCCCTGTCGACCCCATCATCCTGTATCCATGTTTTTAGGTGACCCCTGTCACCCATGGATATGTGACTTGCTTTGTTGCAGGCAGAGGTTTTACCCTTACCCTTTGGTGCCTGTCCTCTCTTGCTGCCCTGAGACTGACAATGTGAAGAAACCAGGCCTAGAATGACATCTTGTAGAACACAAATTAGATGTCAAGTTGAGGCTCCCTAGACCAATTCCAGTCAATCCACCAGATGACTGCAGCCACATTAGTGACCCCAGTAAGACCAGCAGAACTGCCCAGTTGAGCTAGGCCAAAATGCTGACCCACAGAAACCTGGGCAAATAAAATCATTGATATTTTAAGCCCTTAAGTTTGGAGTGGTTTCTTTTGCAGCAAAAAAATAACCAATTCGCCATCCAATCTATAATAAACCATCTCTCCAAGAAGGATATCATAGGAAGCATATCAAATCCTTCCATACAATCAAAATACACTGTAGCACTTATATAAACTTAACCATTTAGAAGCCTTTTTTTTTTTTTTTTTTTTTGCGGTATGCAGGCCTCTCACTGCTGTGGCCTGTCCCGTTGTGGAGCACAGGCTCCGGACGCGCAGGCTTAGCAGCCATGGCTCATGGCCCCAGCTGCTCCGGGGCATGTGGGATCTTCCCAGACCGGGGCACGAACCCATGTCCCCTGCATCGGCAGACAGACTCTCAACCACTGCGCCACCAGGGAAGCCCATAGAAGCCTTATTTTTAAAGTGAGGTGCATTTGTCTTCAGTAACTTCCTATGGGCTCTTAGTCATCACCAGGTTTTTCAAATGCTTATAAGTTATCTGCCCAATCATGCACTTCCAGAATTTTACTAGAGATTGGCATTGAGATAGCTATTTTATGGTTTGGAAACCCACTAGTAAAATAAGTCAGAAAGAGAAAGACAAATATTATATGTTATCACTTATACATGGAATATAAAAAATAAAACAAACCAGTGAATATATCAAAAAAGAAACAGACTCACAGATATAGAGAACAAACTAGTGGTTACCAGTGGGGAGAGGGAAGAAGGAGGGGCAAGATAGGAGTAGGGGATTAGGAGGTACAGACTATTATGTATAAATTAAATAAGCTACAAGGATATATTGTACAGCACAGGGAATATAGCCAATATCTTATAATAACTAGAGTATAATCTATAAAAATTGTGACTCACAATGTTGTACACCTGAAACTTAAATAATATTGTAAATCAACTATATCTCAATTTTTTTTAACTAAAGGAAAAAAGAGAAATGAGCGCTCCTTTTGCAGCACATATACTAAAATTGGAATGATACTGGAAAGATTAGCATGGTCCTTGTGCAAGGATCCCACGCAAATTTGTGAAGTGTTCTATATTTTTAAAAACAAAAAAGCAAACTCATAGATACAGAGAACACATGGGTGGTTGTCAGAGGTGGGTGGGGCGGGGAGAGAGGAGGCAAAATGGGTGAAGAGAGGGGTCAAAAGCTACAAAATTCCAGTTCCAAAAATAAATAAGTCCTAGGGATGTAATGTACAGCATGGTGAGTATAGTTAATAATACTGAATTGTACATTTACAAGTTACTAAGAGAGTAGAACTTAAAAGTTCTCGTCATAAGAAAAAGAAATTTGTAACTATGTGTGGTGACAGATATTAACTAGACTTGTTGTGATGATCATTTTACAATATATACAAATATTGAATCATTATGTCTTATACCTGAAACTAATATAATATGTCGATTATATCTCTATAATAAATAAAGAAAATTAAAAATAAAAGAAATGTGCATGATAGCAATGTGGACAGCAGATAACCAGCTAGGCTGTGTGTATGCATGTGTGTGTGTGTTAATTATAAATTACAAACTTGAATATTCTCCATGTGTTTGTCTTGTATGGGACAATTTTCTGATCTGGATTTTGCCAGTCCAATTAGACAGCCTACCTACCCAGGGGTATGGTACTAGATGGTCTTTGACTTTTGCAGTCGATGTACAACTTGTGGAGGCAACTTGGCCTGTACATAATCTGTTCCAACCACCATCCGGTGAGTGTTCACAAACTTCAGAACCTAAAAGAATTTAGACTTCCTAGACTCCCTAACAACTTAGGATGTTATTTAATTTCCACCACTCAGATGCAATCCCTCAAGACATGAATTAAAACTGAGTAACCTGGAGAAAGAAGTGCCCTGAGCATGAGGCTTCCATTTTTGCTGCTGGGAGTCTAGCAGATGAGATGTGGCTCTGGAGCCAAAAATTCCATCAATGGGGACTCCTTGATTACCCCGACTCTTTCAGATAAATGTCATGTTTCCTCTGGGTGTCCAGTTCTGCGCTATAAAGTCTTTCCTAGAGTCCCAGCCTAGAGCCACCTTCTCCATCCCTTTCAATGATTTGGTAAGCACACATCTCGCTACATCCAATCTTTTCTGTTTAAAATACAGAGGATTGTTAAAACCTAAACAATATACCTCTACGCTTTCCTATTAGATATCTTGTAAAGATATGTATTTTTTATTGAGCTGTTTAGCCCAGCAACACGTCATCTAAAAAGGCTTTCCTGACCACGCTTCCCATGCCAGAACAAGTGACCACACTCTCTGTCATGCTCCCTCTGTACCTTGAGTATAACTCCATCACAGCATCTGTAACATTGTAGTGCTCATGTACACCCTGACCTCTTTGGAGAACGTAACTATTTCTAGTTAGCTTGGTGTCTAGAGATTTCAAAAGCATCAAATTAAGCCATTAATCATTAATTCACAGTCATTCTTTCAGGGCAAGCTCACCTCCACCGTAAAGCCTTACCTGACTCTTATTATCCCTCTGTTCTCAACTATGATAACATCACTTTCAAGGGACAGTCTCACATTGGACTTCATTATTAGAGAAACATTCCTGGCCTGTGTGTTTCATCTCCCAAGTCAGATGCTGACCTCACTGATTCCAGAGACCCTGCCTAATATATCATCAAATATCTCATAAATTTGCCACAATGAATGGGTGACACTCAAAAAAATAATCTTCTGGAGAAGTACAGGTTAAATAACCTAACGGAAGAAACTGAACACACCAATCAAAGCACAGAAATACTCCCAAGACTAACACAGACTATATAAAATACTGTCTTTGTTAGTTATCCACCACTGCTCTTCATTAAACATGTAGGAAGATGCACTATGCTCAGGGTCTAACATCCAACTCTTCTTTTGTGACTGTCTTTCAAGATTCCCAGCCTCTTTGTCATCCTTGCTTTCAGTGATCCCAGGATGGGGAAAGCCCCCAGCTGTGCACAGAAAGAGACTTTCTTTATCCTTAGTAGCTAGGTGCTTGTGGTTCAGTGGCAACCTTTCGATAGAGAAAGGCTGAGTCTCCTAGAAGTAACTTCCTAACAATGTACATTACCAACCTATTTACACATCTTCCAAGATGAAACTCCAGGCAATATCATGTTATTCACACTTCACGGGATGCTTGGGGACATTATTGTTTTTATTATTGAAAGAATGGAACTAGGGAAGGAAGGAAGGAAGTAATGGAGGAAGTGGGGCAGGGAGGAAGAAAATAAAGAGAGAAAGAAAGGTGGGAGAGAGGGAGGGAGGGAAGATGAAATAGAGCCCAGGTCAAAGGCACTTTCTCCACTACCTCTCTTTAGAGAAAGCATGAAGTATATTCTATTTAT